TTATTGTCATTCTTGCCCCTCAAGGAGCCTTTTTAGACATATTTTTCCTAATTGCCCACCAAAGACATTGTAATACTGCAGCTACACTCTATATTTGTATTCTGTGACCTTAGGGAGGGTATATTAATTTTCCTGCCATTTCTGCTATCATAAATTCTCAAAAACATAGCAGCAACAACATAAATTTGTCATCTTACAGTCCTCCAGGGAGATCTGTCTGACACGGGTCTCACTGTGCTAGAGTGAAGTGGTCACCGGGGTTGCATTTCTTTCTCAAAGTCTGGAGGCAAATCCACGTCCAGCTTCTGCGGCCACTCATATAACTTTGCTTGTGGACACCTTCCTCCACCTTCAAAGGAAAAGTGGGATCTCTCTGTGCCATTTTAGTCACATCTTCGTCTTCCACTTTTAAGGACTTTTGTGGTTACACTGGGCACACCTGGCGTATTAGTCCATTTTCATGCTGCTGATAAAAACATACCTGAGACTCAGTAATTTATTTTTAAAAAAGAAGTTTAATGGACTCACGGTTCCATGTGACTGGGGAGGCCTCACAATCATGGTGAAAGATGAAAGTCACGTCTTAGATGGGGACAAACAAGAGAATGAGAGCCAAGCGAAAGAGAAAACCCCTAGAAAATCATCAGATCTCCTGAGACTTATTCACTACCACAAGAACAGTATGGGGGAAATGGCCCCCATGATTCAATTATCTCCCCCTGGGTCGCTCCAACAACACATGGGAATTATGGGAGCTACAATTCAGGATGAGATATGGGTGGACATACAGTGAAACTGTATCACCTGGTAATCCAGGCCAATCTCCCCTCTTCTTTCCAGGTCAGCTTATTAGCAAACTTAATTGCACCTGCAACCTTCATTCCTCTTTGTCACTTACTGTAATGAGGTCACAGGTTCTAGGGAGTAGGGAATAGACTTCTTTGGTGGGGTGAGGCCCTGGCAAAGCATTATTCTGCTTACTGAAAAGGGGAATAAATCATGGTAATACCTGAAGATTTTCTTGACCCCTAAGAATACATGTTTACCCCCAAGGGAGCAGTGTCACCCCCTGTTCAGCTGAGAATCCATGCTTACCGCCCATTTCTACCATTATTTCTTCTTCTCTTCATTTTTGGACTTTTAGGCCTGTGTACAATATCCCTCCAGACAACAGTTATAACAATTTTTCTAAATACACATATGCATCTTAATGCACAGTTTTACAAATGAAATTAACAACATTCACATTTTTTTTCAGTATTGAAAAATACCATTGTTGACCAAATACGTTGTTGCCCTCTTTAAGAGCCTTTTAGCTATCCAATTAGCCTAAAAGTCTTATAGTAGTGTCAAATAGAAATTTCTCCATGTAATCATTAGAAATACTAGGTACTGAAATATAGACTAGAAAAAATATGGTACTTGATTGTTCAATATTTCTGCCTCTTAAATCCATTTGCTATAAATGATATCTAGCACTTCTGAAATATGGAATATAGAAACTGCAGCTAAAATTATGCAGTTTCCCAGGAAATGATGAACCCTATTGTTTCTTTTTTGCTTTTTTAACTGCAGGTATAGCTGCAGAACCAGAAAGAAATCTGACATTTGGGGCCTGGAGGCTATTCTCACTAAAGTCTTTTTCCTTTTTTTTTTTTTTAAAGGCCTTGAGCCAAATCATCAGGTTTCTGTTCTCTCTGTTACATCAATTAATGGTACCTGAAAATCCGATTCAATTTAATTTTCTTGAAATGGAAACCTAGGGAAAACTCCTTCTCTTGTTCAAAGGAAATCTGTCTGAAAAACTATCCCCACTAGCAAAGGTAATTTTACTATGGGCTTCAGGATATCAGAAGCACGCTCAGAATAATAGTGTCTGGAAAATGGGACAATTTTGAAACACATTTATATCAATTTAGATAATTACTTGAGAAAGAAGGCCCTGATTCTAAGCATTAAAAATAAAATCACTGGAAGTTGGTTGGAGGATTCTTTGAATGATAAAATGTTCCCATTTTGCCCTCAGTCATCTTAAAGTCAAAGGATTTGGTGGTATCTTTTCCCCAACCTCCAAAACTGATATTATTTTTCAGCCATGAGTTTATCAAGTTTATCAACTAAAGAGTCCAATTATTAATTAAAACGTACAATGGATTAAGTCTATTTTCAATAAGCCTGCTTCATATCTATTTAACTTGGACCCCTACCAAGGCTGTGCTGACACAGTGGGCTCTTCCTTCTTTCAGCCTGTGTCCACAGATCACTCAAAATATCAGCCATCCCTTCCTCATCTTCTAGAGAAAAATCTGTTTTCTGAATTAACAGGTAGCCAAAATGACCCACCAAACCCTCTTAACTGGCTCTAATAGGAACAGTCCCAGCTCTGAAATATCAGGTCTCGCCTCACCGCAGCCACTGCTCCTCCTCGGGGCTCCTGCTGAAGCGCCCACCTCTCCTGCCCTTCAGAGAGGTCGGTGTGACCAGAGGGATCCGGTTGAAGTGAGACTGTCACTCCTTTCAGTGGCTTCTCATCTCAATCAGAACAAACTACAAAATGCTCACCTTGCCTACTACATTCTTCCTGGTCTGCCCACCAGCCTTGTTTCTAACATCTTCTTCTGCAACTGTTTGATTTTCTGGTGGTGCTTCAACCACTCTGGTAGCCTCAATTTCCCTCAAATACATCAGACGCATTCCTGCCCCTGGGCCTTGGCACTTGCTGCATCTTCCTCCTGGAATGCTCTTCCCCAGAGATCAGAATGGCTAATTTCTTCACTTCACTCAGGCCTCTGATTAAATGCTAGCGCTGGAGAGAGCTTTCTCTGAGTAGCCGATTCACAATAGCTCCTCTCTGTTCCTCTCTCTGGGTAGCTTTTTCTCCCAGGCTTTTGTCACCTTCTGCTGTATAATTATTTGTTCATAAACCTCATGTCTCCTCTTGCTGCATGTAAATTTCATGTGATTAGGGTTTTTCCTTATTTACTGCTGTATTACCTAGAACTGTGCCTGGCACAGGTAGCTTGGCATATATTGTCTATTTAGCAAACAGTAATAACCATCTCCTATGTCAGCAACACAGGGTGACTCAGACCGTATAAATTGTGGTAGCACAAGGGAATGAACTGATGGGATGTGGGAGGATAGGAGAATGCTGACTGAGCCAGAAATCAGATAACCAGAGTCAAATTAAGCAACTGGTAGATTTGGAACTTTACATAATGATTCCACTCTCTTAGCCCTGGTAGGCTCATCTTAAAAATGGAAATAACAATGCTTGCGACATCAAGCTATTATAAATATTAAATGAGATAATGCAGACAGAAGTGCTTAGCTTGGTGCCTGGGAAAATACAGGGAGATCAGAATATGCTTACTTAGCACAAGAAAAAATTAGCCAGTATGAGGCCGGGTGCGGTGACTCACGCCTGTAATCCCAGCACTTTGGGAGGCCAAGGCGGGTGCATCACGAGGTCAAGAGAGTGACACCATCCTGGCCAACATGGTGAAACCCCGTCTCTACTAAAAACACAAAAATTAGCCGGGCGTTTGGCACTCGCCTGTAGTCCCAGCTACAGGGGAGGCTGAGGCAGAAGAATTGCTTGAACCCGGGAGGCGGAGGTTGCAGTGAGCTGAGATGGCCCCACTGCGCTCAAGCCTGGTGACAGAGCACGACTCCGTCTCAAAAAAAAAAAA